TTGTTACCATCCACTGTTTAGATCTTGATGCTTTTTAACTCTAGATTTGAACCGGAGGAAGGATTTTAGTCATCGGACGTCTGGATCTTAAGTTATCAGAGAAACAACTTTGCACACTACCCCCACACAGGTGTTTCTGTACCTGATACAGACTGTGGAGATCACTCAGAGCAGCACAAACACAGCCTAATAAACACATATTTAGTTTGTTGTGGCTGAATCCAGACAGTAAAAGGTCCCGTTGTGTCTCTGCTGACAGTTTAAAAGATTAAAGTTTAATGTTAATCGCAGTGTCTCCACCACCTGCTGCTCTTTAACCATCAGCTGATAAAGATTCACAACCTACCGCCTCATACGCCACCTGCACCCCCCCCCGTTTCCCTCCCACCCTCACCACCAAACACATTCCCAATTCCCATCGTCGCTCCGTCCAATTTCACCCTGAGATCAGCTCTAATCAGCCGGAATCAAACACCTGCGTGGGCGAGCAGCGCCTTTAAACAACGTTTTGAATAATGGTGATTTTTCCTGCTGCTGTGTGAGGAACTGTACAGGAAAACCCACCAGGAGGAAATGTGGTGAATTTCCTGCTCAACTTAAATGTTTTATTCAGTTGTTTACGTCTGGAACAAGTTCAGAATGTGTGACGGTGGTTGTCTGGACCGTTATGAAGCAAATATACTTTATTATCATTACTTTGAATGATTCAGCTTCTCCCAGCTCATGAATGTTAACCTCTTCCTGCACCAGTGGTGTACATACATATTACCCATCAGTCATCACTGCATATGACAGCAAAATAAGAAGTTATTCATTTCATTCATCAATGTTTTGTAGTATTTATAGTTTATGTAGAATAAATGTTATTTCGTCGCCTTGGCAGTCCTGACTCCGCCTGCTAATAGATGAGAGCAGCCAAACGCCACTTTCTTGTCCTCAAACGCTCTTTCACGTGAAACTAATGATGTAAAACTGCCTGAAAGCTTCTTTACTTTCCTAAACAACGAAGGACAGTAAAATAAAAGATCTGTGGCTTTAGGCAAAGAGGTTCAAAATGTTAAACTGTGGGACAGTCAGTGAGTGTGTCTGTTTCCAACTCTTCCTCACAGGTTAGTTAATGACAGACAGTCAGTGAGTGTGTCTGTTTCCAACTCTTCCTCACAGGTTAGTTAATGACAGACAGTCAGTGGTGTGTGTGTGTCCAACTCTTCCTCCAGGTTAGTTAATGACAGACAGTCAGTGGTGTGTCTGTGTCCAACTCTTCCTCACAGGTTAGTTAATGACAGACAGTCAGTGAGTGTGTCTGTGTCCAACTCTTCCTCCAGGTTAGTTAATGACAGACAGTCAGTGGTGTGTCTGTTTCCAACTCTTCCTCACAGGTTAGTTAATGACGCAGTCAGTGGTGTGTGTGTGTCACTTCCTCAGGTTAGTTAATGACAGACAGTCAGTGAGTGTGTGTGTGTCCAACTCTTCCTCACAGGTTAGTTAATGACAGACAGTCAGTGAGTGTGTCTGTGTCCAACTCTTCCTCACAGGTTAGTTAATGATGTTACTGAGTCAATGTGAGCAGATTGTGTCTGTAGACTGAAGAGAATCAGAGTCTCACTGATGGTGGAAATTAAGGTTTTACTTCCTTAAAACAGCTGTTTTTTGAATGGAGTTTGGTTTGACAGTGAGGAGCAGAGGGGAATTAAACTCTTAATGACTCACATAACCTGGGCTGACCTACCTTCCAATAATGAACCTTGTAAACAGCAGAAAGTAACAGGAAGTGGAGATAAAACCCCTCCTGTTTTCTTCTTCTGTGGGCTCGTAGATTTGATTAATAAACACAAACGGCGGTTCTGCTTCGCCGCAGCGATGGAATGAGTTTACAGTAACGTCACATTGGACCAGCGACCAAAACTGAAAAATTAAGTGTCAGATTCAGTAAGCTGTATATGTCAAGACTCTCATCAAACACTATTTCTGCATTTTATCTATATAACGAAGCAGATTCTTGAACATAATTGTTAGAATTATGAATTACTATTAAGCCTTAATATATTTTAAAGGGGTTAGTTGTATAAAACTTCATCCCGCCGTACAGTTATGAACAGGGTCACAGAAAAGTGTTTTTTCTATCAGGCTGTAAACAGGTTTTATTTCTGCTGTAAAGTTGTGTATGCCAATATTGGGCCTTAAGGAGATTGACTCACTGCTGGAGCCAGCCTCTAGTGGCCGTTAGAGGAACTGCAGCTTTGTCACTTCCGCTTCATTTGCAGCCAGAGACGTATCTCCAGTCCCTCCAAGATTTTGTGGACTTTTTTTTAAGGGATAGTTGCAGCTATAAAATGTCTGATTTCACAGTAGCTTTTCTAAAAAAAATTCCACTGTGCGAAATTTTTATGCTTTTTTTGAAAAAAATATCAAAATGGTTGCTTTTTGATTATTATTATTATTTTTTTAATTCATCAAAGGCAATTTGCTCCAGTGAGAATAAAATCTCTTGTGGTTTGGTGTCGTGTTTTTGTTTTGTGGGGTTGAGGTGGACGAACATTTCAAGTTTGTGCAGAATTCACAGGAATTGGCTGAATTTGTGTTAACTGTGGCAGAACTTCACACAACTGACCTATTGTACCTAATGTATATTATTATATATGTATTATTATTCTATTGTACCTAATATTATACCTAATTACCTATATGCCCTGGACGTCATGGTTTATCGCACTCTGATGATGTTTTACATCTCGGTTACAATGATTAAATTCATTTTATGGAGCAGATTTTGCGGATTTCGTTTTGTGATTGTGATTTTGAAAGTTAAAAGATGTTTAGCCAATCAAGGGTTTTGGTTTTAGATGGTAACCTTCCTGTTGGCATTTTAATGATGTTCCACAGGTTCTAAAGGATCTATTGTTCATATTTTTTAGCAATAGTGAAAAAAACAAAAGTTTAGTAACAGCAGCTTGTTTACCTTCGACCCAGTCTGTCTAGGCCACTGATTATATTGATTTGTGGTTGTCATCAAATCAAATTGATATTTAAGATCTTGATATGTGTTTTCGGTCTTTTTAATTTATTTTTTATTTTTATCGTACAAAAAGCGGTGGTTGTGATGTAAACAAAGTTTTTATTTTAAACTAAATAAATAGTAAGTAGT